GGGGGGGGGGCGGGACATCAGGCTCACAACAGCATGGAGGGGAAGTCCCAACTGACACAAGCACTGTGAACCGGGAAGTTCTAGCACTTTAGGATGCTGGTGGAGACATCGCTGGGCATATGGACAACCAGGGGAGCAGAGTCAGATTCCACCTACCTTGTCCTTGGAGTTGAGGACAACAGCCTGGGTGTGGGGCACGCGGACCACGTGATGGTCAAAGCTGGCAGTGGGCAGCCAAACTCGGGCAGGGAGCTTGTGGTTGAGCAGGGAGAGCTCCGAGATCAGCCGTTGGGTCTTCTGCTCCTTGGTGGGGAGCGTGGCCAGCCGCTTGCCGATTGCCATCAGGGACTTGATGAACTCTCGCTCAGGGGCCAGTCTGATGGGCTGTGGGAGGTTGGAGTAAAAAAAGAAGAGGGTGAAAAACCAGAGAAAAAAGTGGTCCAGCCCATTTAGTTATCCTTGGCCATCTGAGCCAGGCAGCCCAGTGTCTAAAGAATTCCAGAGTAGGAGTTCCCTTTGGTCCTGGTAGGAGATCTCAGTCCACCTCTGCCAGCTGGAGTCATGGACAGGCTATTCCTTAAGGGTAAGGGGCCCCAGAATCCAGATGTGCTGTTTCTGGGGGACACCTCTCTTTTCTTAAGACTTTAGTGTTGGGAGCTGTCCCAAGACTGCAGGGTAAGCAGGGAATAGCATCCAGAGAGGCCAGGCAGGGCCCCAGGGAGAAGCGGTGCTCACACCTGCAAGACTTCTCTCATCTCAAGAACAGGGCTGTCCCTCTCTGGGTCTGGATTTCCCTGAGGGGCTCTGCCAGGGCCCATGAGGCTAGGGATGGGAGCTCCAAATCAATGTTCCCCCTCAAAGACTTGTTGCTTTTCATTCAAATGGCTGCTGCTCTCCATGAAATACCCCAGCCCACCCACAGTCTCTCATAAGGAATCAGTGTACATGCAGGGGATGAGAAGAGGGGGCAGAGACCACTTCAATGAGTAAGAACAAGCAGATGGGGGGAGAGGGTGGGGGAGGGAATGGAGGATGGGATGACCCCCATTTCTGTGCTTGCCGGTGGTCCTGTAGGCCTGGCTCTTTTCTAGGATTCCCCCTTGGGTCTTCATCCCCAACCTCTCAAGGAAGAGGTTCCCCTCCTGGGTTCCTGCTGTGAGCTTAGCTCCTCCCACTGGGCACTCCACGGGCAAAGTCAATCTGGGACTTAGGTGGCAGTGGGGAAAAGGAGGACTCGACTCAACCGTGAGGAGGGCTGTTTGCCCAGCTAATGCCCTGCTACCACAGGGGTGTTTCTGAAGACAGCCCCGACGTTTCATCCCTGGCTCCCTTCAGCCAGACAACAGCAGCATCTCCTCCTCTCGTGGAAGCAGCATGCCACTCACCAGCTTCTCTCCCCCCTCTGTGTGGCTTGCTCAGTTTCCTGATTTGAGAAATTCTACTCTCACTCCCTCACTGCAAAAGAAGCTGCTTCTGAAGCGGAGCAGTCCTGGACCTGCCTCTGCATGGGCAAGAGTGCCAGGGCCAGAGGAGCACTTCTGTGGCCAGCGGTGCAGCTCAGAGCCCCACACAAGTAGAGAGAGAGGGTGTCTGAGTCCGTCAGGAATGCTTTGAGGGGGTGGGGTTGAAGAAAGAGAAGGGGACAACAGAATTCGGCTTCTGTGGCCCCTGGAAGTATTCCAGGGTGCCTCTTGGAGAAAAAGGATGAGAAAATCTGGAAACGTACTCCTTTCTTCCTCTGACCGCTCCCCTCCCCACACACTGATCCATCCCCTCAGGGGACAAAATGGTCGCTGTCCCGAGGACCCACCACCCCAATCAATACATAGAGACCTCAGAGAACAGGTTAAGGCCCCTCTGTCCTCCCACTTCCAAATCTGCACTTGGGTCACTGTCCCCCAAAATATTCCAGGAGCTGTGACCCCAGGCCTTGAGCGGGGCTCTGCCATGTGGGAGGAGACAGGAATCATGACAGAACGGGGATCATCAGCACGGAACAGAGAAAATTGATTGGGTGAAACAAAGAAACAAACAAAAAAACCCCGTAAAAATTATCCAAATTCCCAGAGGGTTCCCGCATTTCCTCTCACGTCTTTGCCCAGCAACAAGGTCCATGACCTTGAGATCCCAGAGGGTCAGAGGTTAGTGTTGAGGTCATCCCGAGGGGGGGGGGCGAGGAGGAGACTGGAAAGGGCAGTGAGCTGGAAAAGGGGAAGAACTCAGACCTGGAAGAAACTGGTAGAGGTTGCAAAAGAAACTGATTGTGGGGAAGCCCAACCTTCCTGGAAGCCAAATCCTGCCTTCATTTGGAGTCAGCTCCACCCCCACTTCCCCCCCCAGACTGAAATCCTGCTTTCATTTGGAGTCAGCTCCCCCAGCAAGGGCCAAGCATTGAGAAGACCTGGCAGAAACTATGGGGAAAGGGTTCTGGGTGGGAGCAACGGGATCCTGGAGGTTTCTGCCAAGCAGTTCCTCACTCCAATCCCGGGGTAAATGCCACCTCTCTTCCAGCTGTTCACTCCAGAGACTGGGAGCCACTGGCTCAGAGCACAGAATGGACTGAGATCTGCTCAGTCAGCAGCAGTGAGTAGGGCCTCTCCAGGGCTTGTCACCCAGGAAGAAAAGAGCCCTTATAACGATAGTCATGGCCTGGGGGCTCAGAAAACCTGGGGACGGGAGAGGAAATGCGGCTGTGGGGGAGCCTGCCACCCAGTCCCAGCCTGGCCCCACTTACGGAAGTGAATGAATTATCAATACTCTCGGTGCTGGAGGAGAGCTCCTGGGAAAGGGCCGGAGGGCAGAGGGAGGGAGAGAGACAAAGGTACAGCATTTAGCTCCAACTTGGATTAGAACTGCTTCTTGTGCAGCTCTACCTGTCTGTTTTAAGGGAAGAAAGTCCACCCAGAAAGGCCTGGCCCAGATGCTCATCAGCCAGCTCTGTGCCCAGCAGGCCAAGAGAGACTAAGCAACCAGCTTTTCACCCCAGCCTCTCCATGCTCTGGGGCACGGGGCACGGGGCTTCCTTCTAGGGCAAAACCCTGACACTGGGTCCCTGGGCAAAGGAGCTCTGCCAGGCTATGCTCCTCGGCTCTGTACACTCTCAAGACTCTTGACCAGAGACGGACTGAATGTACCAAGCTCCACAGCCCCCGCACTGAAAATGCCATGTCCCGCCAGCTTCTAGAAAGGTCCGTGAGAAAGAAGAAAAGGGAAACGTGCAGTGCCAGGCACACATCCTCTCACCCCAGTCTGTCTCCCTGTAGGCCCCACCCCGGCCTGGCACCTGGGTCACAGAGGGCACCCCAGGCCCGTGAACTGGAAACCTTGGTGCTGGACGAGGGAGGAAGCAAAAGCCTCAACTCAAAACTCACTGTCACGAGTCAGTGGATGCCGACTCCCAGCGACCTTATAGGACAGAGTGCAACTGCCCTTGTGGGTCTCTGAGGCTCTAACTCTTCAGGGCAGCAGGGAGTGAGTGACCTGGCGGGTAGTAGGCTCACATGTAACCCACTAGGCCACCAGAGGGCCTAGGTGGAAGCAAGAGACGTACAAGTCCCACGTCTACTGAGCTTGAGGCTCCCTCTATTGAGCTATTTCACAGGACACTCAATAATACCACCGTTTTTTGGGCTTAGGTGGGATGCCAGCTTCAACCTAAAGCCATGGACGAGGCAGAATAGCTGAGCAGTGGCTGTCCCTCGTCATCACCCCTCCCCTGCTGGGGCCTCCTGTCTCGGGGAGCAAAACAGGACAAGGGACAGTGGTCAAAGTCTCCTGCACAGCAGTCACATTCTGAGGCACAGGCCAGCCTGGGTTCGGTCTGGGGAGGGCTAGCCAGACAGCCCGAGTGCACTAACCTTCAAGAGGGGAGGTGCCTGCCTTAAGGGCCAAAGTCCTGAGAGCTCCCAGGGCCCTGGGGCAGCAGTCCCTGAGTTTCCACTCTGGAAGCCACCTTTAGCTGGTCTCAAGGCCATGGTGCCAGTTCTACTCTTTCTTGGAGAATCTAGGAGATCAAGCTTGGAAACATTTCCCCAAGGTATCAACTCTTCCACTTTGAGTAGGTGGAAGGGGAAACTGAGGCGGTCAGTCTGCCAGGGTAGAGTTCAGTTTATACCCAAGAGCTGGCCAGGGAAGGGACAGTAGGCAGGATGGTGGATCCGCGAGGCAAACGCCTGCTGACTCTCCCAGACAGGTCACAGGTCCACTGTCTGACTCACTCCCAGCCTCGGGGGTGGGGGTGGGGAGGTGGTGTGTGTGTGTGTGTTATGACCTGCACCCTCTCCTCCACCTCCCAGGCCTGAGTCATGCATACTGAGTGAGCTCCAGGGAGCACAGCTAGGTCCCAGAAGCTGACATCACATGCTAGCAGGCCGAGGCCCACCGACCTGCAGTGTGGCCCGAGCAGCAGATTTCTCTGTACAAAGGTTGCTGTCTGAAAAAGACAACACCGTCTACAGAGAGTGGCATTACAATGGGGTGGGGGTGGCACTGAAATCATTCTCTGCTGCTCGGCTTCACACCAAAATATTTCACATTTGGTTACAAAGGGAAAGGAAAACTGCCCCAGCCGAGCTGCCTGACTAGGCTGCTAGGAAACTGCTTTGCTGGGAAACCAGTGGGAGAGGGACGCACTCGGCTGCAGCCCCTGTTGGGAGTGGGAGGAATTCCTCGGAAGCCTGGGAAGAGAAGAGCTGGGGAGAGCAGCTGGGCAGGAAGAGAGTTAGACAAGCAGTCGGGACCACTGCCCTGAAGTCTCTGCTAGTCGGGGACAGGGGCCGGGCAGGCCTGCATCGGGAACCCGTAAGGCAAGCAAGAGTTTGGGAGCAGAGCGCCAGGTCCTACCTAGGGATTCGGGCCTTGGGAACTTGTGTGCTTGGTTTTAACAACCTGTGTGTTTCTTGCTTATGGGCAGAAAACAGCTTTTCAAGACAGTCAGTCACATGCTTAACAGCTGCCTAGACAATGGTGCTTCCCTACGGCCTTGTAAGTTACTGGAGACAGGGACAGGGCCTCTTCTACCTTTCTCAGCCTCACTTTCTCTTGCACACTTGGGGCTCTGCACACTGAGTGAACCCAGTATGTGCTGAATGAATGAATACTGCAAGGTAAGGGAGGAGAAGGTAGAAAAGGAAAACCAATCCCCTTGTTATGTTGGTCACGGGGAGGCTCGTACAGATGTATCCTCAAAATGCTCCTGGCCTAGTAGCATTCCCTCCCTCTTACTCTCTCCATCACAGTTCCCGAGGAGGAGCCAGAGTGGATTCAGGTGGCTCATCCTGCCACCATCAGCATCCTGTGAGGGCTTAGGCAGGAGGCATCGCCGCCCTTTCCTGGAGTTGGTGAGCTGGGATAAGGCCACGCTGTAACCCATCTTAGGGGCCTGAAGCCTCACAGAATAGCCGCCAGTTGGTGCCATGCACAGTCTCATCCTGGAAGAGGGGAGAGAGAGCGTCCAAGGACCACCACTGAGAACTACTGGGTACAGAGAAAACCAAGTCTGCCAGGGGACACCTAGCTGCTCACTCTCATACGGCCAGGGGTTTGGGCCCAAGAGGGGACAGCTCCCTAAACCTTCCTGACATGAAGGCCACCAGAACCTAGAAGGTCGATTCGTCTCTGTTCTGCAACCCTTAACCACCTTGGGCTCCACTGCTAAGCTCAGTCAGCAATGAAAAGGGTCCACCCTGCTTCTGAGAACAGCTTGGCTCTGCCATGCGCACATGTGGAAAGCTGGACAGCCAAGGCCGTGGTAGCTTTGCTCTCTCCATATGGCCTGACAGCTGCGAGGCCCTTAAGAACCTAGCAGAGGGGGCTTGGGAAAGTGGCTGCAGAGAACTAATCTGGGTGGCCTGGTTGAACGACTAGACGCACCAGGTCGGGATTTGAATCCTGGTCTGACAGTCACTAGTTGAGAGACCTTGGTCAATCATCTACCCCTCCGAAGGCTCTCACTGCTTAACCCAGGAATGACGAACCTATAGGGACAGCAAGTAGAATAAGGGTTTCAGGGGGTGGGGGATAGTGGTGGTGGGGGGGATAAAAAGGAGACATGTCAAGGAGTCCAGGAAGAAAAAGTGTTTGGAAATGGATTGTGGTAGCAACGCTACAATTCTGCTTGCCGTGATTGAACTAAGGAATGATACGTGTATTAACTCCCAATTAATCATAAATAACACACACACACACACACACGGGTTCGGACAATTGACTCAAGCGTATGAATGATGGTGAGAGGGTGCCCAATCAGGGAACGTATTTTGTTCTGGGTACATGGGGGTGGGTCACCATGCATCAGAGACTGTGTCGGTTTATCCAAGAAACAATAACAAGGCTTCACCACCACCACCACCTCTCTATGTTTGTGTGAGGAATTTTCCCTGACACCATGTCTAGCAACCTATTAAGTTGTTAGCTCTACTGTTACTAACTCTGGGCCAACTCCTGGGCCAAATTATTATACTAATACCTAGTTTCCAGAGGGTGGATTCTGTAATCTCCCCCCCTCCTGCCTGTCCCTCCCCTAGTCACTCTGACCTCCCACTGGTTCAAAGAAGTCCCACTGTATCCGAAGCGCGGGTAGGGTATGTGCCCCACAGAGGCAGATGCCAGGCTGTGGCTATGAGAGATTTCCAACAAGTGCAAATTCCTTGTTCCATTCTCTCTTCCTTCTGAGGCTGGCAGCTAGGATGGGAGCAGGGCCATTGTCTGGCTGGGACCCCAGGTCACCAGCACTTGGCTGTCCAGGGGGTAACGTCTGCCCAGATGTGAAGTGGGGTGCGGGTGGGTGCCTGCTGCGCTCGCTTCTCCCCTGTGGCCTACCCTAAGCTGGGCACTCCAGCAGCTGCTGTCACCTCCATTCTTCCCAGCCCCCAGGACCCTGACTCGGCAAGGTTCAAACTTAACTCCTTCCCTCGTCCCTTTTAGCTTCTCCCAGTTGACACGGGTAAGATGCCAGCATGGCAATCCTCCCCCTAGGAAAGACAGGCTGGCAGGCTTTCTGCAGATACCTCGAGTGATAGGAACGAACGCTCCCCTAATGTCAACAAAAGCAGGATCGTCAGGGGCGAGGGGAGCGGGATCATGAGCAATGAGCAGGAGTGTGACATCGATGTCTGAGTTAATGTCCTCCCCACTCACACACAGAGAACTCTGCACACCTAGGCCACACGCTGAGAGGCTCTGGTAGATATGTCAAGTGCCATGTTAGGATTAGGAGGGTCTCTACCACACTTCTTAGTCAAGTAATTGTTAATGGAGTGTGCGGATAATCTAGGAAAACCAACATTGGGCAGCCTGGCCCTCAAGGAGACATCTGACCCGAGGCAAGTCACTTTATCTCTCTGGGTCTCCCAGTTCTTCCTTTGTAAAATGAGGCAGTTGGAATACATGCATTCTAAAGTGATTTTCCATAGCAACTTCCCATGTTTCTATCACAGTGAGATGAAACAGAGGGAAGGGGAGACAAGGACAGTTACCCCATATCACACAGTTTGGCCCCGCCCCAGAATTTTACCTCATCTTCATTTTCCACTTTTGGGTTGCTGGCTGTTCGTTTCAGGGTGCTGCCGAGACTTATGCTGGCGGTGGCATCTGACTTTGAGCGCTGGTGAGTCCTTTTAGAAGGAGACAGCCCGGTGTCCGGGGCTGGGCTCAAAGAGGGCAGCTCCCTCTTTCGGTGAGCTGGCTTCAGCTCATCAGAGAGGATCAGCTTCCGTAGCTTGGTCCCTCGGGAGTGTCGTTGAGTGGAAATGTGCATGTCTGAAGAGTAAGCCCCGAGCAACAGGGCGCACTGGAGGGAAAAGTTGATGCTCTGGCGGCAGCGGTGGACGATGTAGGGCTTGATGGCATCGCCCACGTCCTCGTCCATGTGGATGTACATGTTGAGCAGCTGGGGCAAGTAGAAGTCCACGTCCTCATTGCGGAAGCAGAAGAGCCGGTTGCCGATGTAGGCCTGCACTCCCGGCTCCTTGGAGTTATACAGGTAGGAGATGGCCATGGAGATGTCAAACAGTTTGGACTCAAACAGCCGCAGCAGCCAAGACTGCTTGGCCGAGTTGTTCTGCCGCCGCCTTCTTGCTCCCTTGCCCGTGCCAGAAGCCGCAGTGGCCCCCATCTCCTCTTCCTCCTCCTGGATCCGGGCAGGTGGATCATCGAGGCAACGGATCTCACTGTCCACACAGTCCCCATTGACTAACTCCAGCGGGGTGTCCCTGCTGGAGACAGCCACGCCTCCATGCAAAAGCTTCACTTTCTCCAGCACCTCCTGGCAGGCCTTCTGGGCCACCTCCGGGTCAATCACCGAGAGCTCCCCGACCCCCTCCGTGATGACACTTAGCAAGGAGCCCCCATTATTCCCAGGCGGGCTAGGAGCAGGCTCAGAAGTTGGCTTCAGAGGGGCAGGCTCCACTACCGTGTCTCCCATGGCCACAGCCAGACTTGGAGCGTCCAAGCTACAGGAGGAAGGAAGGAAAAGGGAGAGAGGGCGACACATACAGACACTGGTCAGTGGTGCCCTCCTCCGGTCCCGCCTTCTCTGTGAAGCCTTCCCACGGACGCCTCTTTTTGTCCTCCTGGCCTAGCTCCACTCCTGCTCTTCATTCCTGCTCTACTTGGCGACTCAGCTTAGCCTGGTCTTAGGCAGTACTGGCAAAATGCTGCTCTACCCGAGTTCCCGTTATGTGGCTTTACAACTCCTCAGTAGACTGCGGAGACATCCCAGTCTTACTCCCTTGTGCCTAGCTCTTCAGAGACTTTTCTATAGCCTGGGCCCTCCCCTGTCTTCCTTTCAAGGCCTCCCACCACCTTTTTCTTTCCCTGCAAGCAGTTGTTTCCTTAATCACAGGCGACCCTATACACATGCCCTGCACGTCTCACTTTGATTTCATACTGATGTCCTGATGTATTTTTCCTAGTGGTAGGTACGTTTCCCCATCTTTTGCAGATACAGAGCTCCCAGGGAAGAACAGCCAGCAAACCTCATGCCAGGCTTCACTGAGAAAGCAAGAGCTCTACAACACCCGTCACCAACCCTGCTAACGCTGGGCCATTTTAACTGCTGGTCCTTCTTTGTGGCATCATTGTCCCCTCCAGTGCAAAGAGCCACATGGGCTGGCACACACATATATGAATCGTTTTTAAAAGGAAATGGATTAAGAGTTAGCTCATTTTAAAAAAATCTTCTAAAACATTTAGCTAGCCCAAGCCCACTCCAACACTACTTGCCCTGCTATCATACTCACTCACTAAGAGCTGGAGGGGCTTGAGGGGTGGTCAGAAGAACTCAGGTGGGGACTCTGAGGCTCTAGAACGCTTGAAGAGCAGGGAACAGGAAGTGTGTAACTAAGGCTCCCTCGCTGGAGGCGCTCCAGAGGAGATTCAGTGAAAGAACAGTGCTGACAAAAGCCACTACCCTCTAAACGCACTGTTTCAGCCTCAGCAGCCCCAGGGCAGGCGAACCGTGCGGAGCAGGGGGACAACTGAGAGCTGGGACTGCGAGAGAGGTGGGCGGTTAGTATCACGTCACCTGCAGCTCCTAAGTCGGGAGGTAGCCAACAAGGGTCTCTGTGGCATCTTCACAGGGACACGAAGAGAGGAAGTCTAAGACAAAGTCACAGGCTTTGAGAGAAGTGGATTGAAAGTCATTTCCAGGAGAGAAAATGTTTTGAGAATGATGTACAAATGCGCTTTACACAATTGATGTGTGTATGGATTGCGATAACAGTTGTATGAGCCCCTGAAAAAATGTTTAAAAAATAAAATAAAATAAATCATATCACTTAAAAAAAAAAAAAGAAAGTCATTTCCAACTCTTAGTGACCTTACCTTTTGACCCTGGTGACTCTGGGTGCGTATATTTTGAGTAGGTGGAAGGATAGCTCCAGGTATGGTTTCTCCAGTCACGCATTCTCTCCTGGAAGCCCTCCTTTACACTGCCACCCTTCCAGTGCCTCTTCTGACATCTCTGAAAGGGTAAGTGGCAAGGCTACTTTGACCTGCCCAACATCGTTCGGTCCAGCTCCCTGACTCCCATTAGTCGCCATGTAAGACTAGCCAGAATGACAGGTGGGGAGCTCTTCTGTTCTCAGAGATCAAGGGGTTCTGATGGCTCTTTCTCTCCCAACTCTTGTCAAGCACAGAGCTCATCCCTGAATGCAATCCTCTGACTGCAGCGTGAGCTTGGGTCAGTAAGGTGGCAACTCTCACGGTGCTCTCCCTCACATTAAGCAGTATCCTCTGAGCAGTAGAACCAGCAAGGCTACCTATGTGGATCTGTCTCTACTCGCACCTGTGAATTACACAGGGGTACAGGAAGACGGAAGCCTTAATCATTCCCCAGCCACACCTTTGCAGGGCCACTGTGAGTCAACTGGGACCCCCTATCACTTAGGTCTGCTCAGAAACTCACATGCTAGCTGAGAAAAATCATCCAATACCACCAGCTTTTTCTTAATCTAAGCTTGATATAGCCTTCCGTTCTCCTCTTCTAGAAACTTCTAAGTCACTGAAAGCTTTTTAAAGTCCTCTTTGCAAAACTGCCAAAGAAAATAAAACGTAAGATGATTTTTCCACATACAACCTCAGATCCTACTAGGAAATTCAGTAGGTGGGTCACTCCAACTAACCACAACTGGATTATTGGCACAAGGGTGGTAAAGACACCATCACCTCTTTTAACCTGCAGGCAAAAGAACGCTCAGGCTTCATCTGGGAACCACCTTTCCCGGCACCCGAAGGATTTCGCCACACAGCAGGCTCTCCTGTTGTACAGCTTTGACTCTCCAGGGAAACATATGCCAAGAGGTGTGACAAAACCGAACCTCTTTCTCCACAGGAACTCTGCCACTCAAACTGGAAACTCGGGCCCTTGGGTCGACTCGGCTCCTCGCAACCCTAGAGGGAGGGGAGAACTGCCTGTGGTTTCCAAGACTGTCACTCTTTGTGGGAGAGGAAGAGAAAGCCGAATCACTGAGCTGTGGCTGGGCCTTCCCGCCTGGCCTCTCTGGGGCACAGGGACTGCCTGCATATTGAAGAGGGTTAGGGTTCTGTCAATTTAGACAATAAGAAATTTAAAGAAGTCTCTAGAACCTAAATTCGGATATGGTTCTCAACATCAGTTCCTTCATTCGTTTCAAATACAAAGAAAATAACAGCTTTTGTGGGTAACCATTCTGAAGAAAGTAAACAGCATGGAAAACCAAGGAAAGCAGGAATGGGTCCAACATTACCCTGCCCCTTCGCAGTCAGAGGAACAAGGGGGACAAGAGGAAAGATCATTTAAATACTTCATGCCAAATAACTCCTACAGCCTTCGGGGTTAATACGACCCTCCACTTGCCATCTCACAAGCTGTTCAGACAACTGTTCCAAGAGGCTCCACACTGTGCACCGCGGCCTTCTACTCCAACTAGAAGGGAAGGGAAGCATTTCCCAGCCGAGCAGCTGGCTACTAGGACGGAGGCGGTGGAAGGAATGCTGACCACTGATTGGACTCCCTAATTCCTGTCTGGGGACTAGAGGACGCCCTGCTCGAAACACCAAGGGGTTGTTACGGCTCAGCTATAGGGGCAGAGCGGACGCGCTTGCGTTTTGGGTGGCCAAGCACTTAAATTCACGTTTGTGGAGAAGGACTCTCTGCAGGGAGGGGATGCTACCACTTAGCCTGGCTCTCACTCTTCAAGAACTCAAATGATTCTAGGCAAACAACTCCCCGCCCCCCAGGCCTCCAACTCCAAAAAAGGACTTCCTGTACTGGTCTATGCCGGGGCAGGATGGTAAAGGACCCCTCCTCTATCCCCTCACCCAGTTCATCACCATTTTCTACTGCAAAACCTCAGGCAAACATGCATTGGTTCAGACAAATCTTGACGTCTTTTTTAAATCGGTGTCTGCATGCCCACAGAAAGGCCTGTTATGAGACCATCTGACCTCCAGCTTGGCCTCCACACAGCCGGGGAGCTCAATTTTCCTCTTCCTTGAGAAGATTCCTTTGAGATATAGCTCATGTGAGATGGGAAAGGGTGAGGGAGCTACTACTACCTTCATTTACAGAGTGGGTCACGAGAAAGAAGGCTCAACGTTAATGAAAACACCAAGAGAAAGACAAAACCAGACCCACAGCCTGAAGTTGATCCTAACTCCAGAGACACTGTGTAGTGTTCCTGAGACTATGACCCTCTATAGAGCAAACGGCCTCATCTTTCTCCCAGAGTGAGCACCACGGCTCTCCATGGAAAAGAAAATGTGTTGCCATTGAGTCAAATGCGGACTCAGAGAGATCCCCTGGGGATTTCAAGACTGTAACTGCTGATAGGAGCAGAAAGCCTAGTCTTTCTCCCAAGGAGCTGCCAGTGCTTTCAAACTGCCGACCACGTGGATCGCAGCCCAACTCGTAACCATTACATCACCAGGACTCCTTATGGAAAAGGGAGCTTCGAACATATTACTTAAAGTTATACTGGTGGTCAGCGGAAGAAAGAAAAATAATGATATAATTATATGAGGGGGCTTCGAAAAGTTCATGGGAACATTCCACTTTTTCCACCAATTTTTTACAGTCATGTAAAAAGGAGTTATAAATCTTCTAAAGCGAAATTCTTTTGTAATGTTGAAGAAATGTGTACCCAAAGTAGCAGCAATAACCTTCAGAACGAAACACTGCAATAACGAAAAGTGGCTCACTCCGAGGGAGTAGGAGGACGGATAAGTGGAAAGAGACCGATGCTGTTTTCAAGTGCATGTGTTTCTTTAGGGGTACATTTTTTTAAAGGCGTTGCTTTTCAAGAGAGATCCTCTGTCATTTTGGCCTACCTGTTCTGATGAGAAGGTCCTCCTCATGTCTGAAGGTCTGACCCAAGCCTTTTTTTAAAAGGAGGCATCTCTGACCTCAACAGTCAAGGTGGAGATGGACCCAGGACCAAGAAGTCAAGCAGGCTCAGGGCCCACCAGGAACCAAGTAATTGCTTACCCTAGGCCCAGGGGTGTGGTGGTGGTGGTGTGTGTGTGTGGCATCAGGGGAGAGGGCATTCACAAGCTGCCAGCAGAAGGTAGGGAGGGCAGTGGTCTCAGAGTAGTTAAATCAATATTGAATCAGGCTGAGAACTCTCTGCACAGGGCCATGGAGCTGGTAGAAGCAGATTCCAGCCAGACAGCCCAAGCCAGCTCTGGGAGCCCCTGCAGAAACAGAAATGGTAACGGAAGCGACCTGCACACTCACCTCTTCCCGAACTGTTCCTCCCCCACAAGCTCCAAATGCACTTTTACTAGGCCCTTTCTCGTCTCATGCCAGTGATGAAACGATTCCTCTCAAACCTCTTTCCCAAATCAGAGATATTCCATTTACTGCTTTGGATGATGTTCAGCAAACACGTTCTCTCATTCAGTGAGAATCTGGTTCTGAGAAGCAACCAGGGAAACTAGGGAAAGCATGATCTTTGGATGGAGAGGTTTCCAAGGGGTGAAGTTACTCCCCAAAAGGGGTACTATGAGGAGACTGCACTGTGCTAGAGAAAAGGAAGACATGGATAAGTGGGACAAGGTGGCACAGCCTAGAGTCGAAAGATGACTGAAACTTCGCATGCCCTCTTCAGGGGCATGGCACATCCAGAAAGCAGCAACGAGTACCTGCCTGAGCCCTAGAGCACTCTAAGCTGTCGTTGCCAACAGCTTCCTCAAAGGCTTTCCCACACATACATTCTATACATCCCTACTGAATACTGTGTTGTGGATTAAGGTGACACTCCAGGGGCCCAGCTTAATGGAGCAGGAATAAAGAGCCAGTAGAAAGCAGCAGGCCTGTAGCCTGTCTTTCAAACATGGCTAAAGACTAGAAGACGAGGAAGATCCAACAGAGGGACCAAGATGAAGGAAAATTCTGCGGGCGACTAAGCCACCACTAATAAATACCTTTGTCTGAGGAACCTGAGATATTTTGCAAACAAATAAACCAAGTCTAATCTTTCTCCCAACTCACATCCTGCTATTAACTTATTACTGCACAAATGTCTACAGAGTGGGCCATTTTTCCAACAAAGGTCACTCTAGAGGTCAAGTAAGGAAGTCACATGCTGAACCCAAGAGTCCTAGTTCCAAAGGAGTAAGCTCTTTCCATTGTCTCATGTTTCTTTTCCCAGTCCCCCCACCTTCCTCCAGGCCCTTACCCCTCCAGCCCAGATCTGTGTTCACCTGGAACAAACCAAAATGACTCTAGTAAGGCAGATAGGTAAGCGGATTCCTCTTGGCTCTGGTCAGGGGTGGGAAGACACGCCATTCTGTGTCAGCACTTTAAAACAAGCCTAAAGTGAAATGATCTAAAACACAAGTTCTCACAACCTCATTCAGTGTCCAGGCCTGTCCACCCCTGCCAGGGGTTGCTCCTGAGCAGTCAACCAAGTGGACTCTGAGAGAGACTTCTTCAAAACGGGCTCCATCCTTCAGAAACACCCTTCTGCCCAGAGAAGCCTGAGCCAGCTGAGGCTCCCCTCTTCCCAATGTATTTTCTTCTTAGTTCAAGGCTGAGTTGATCCTGGAATAATGGTTTGTGGAGAGAAAAGTGTGACACAGAACAACACAGAGACCCAAGGGAAAACAGACGCAAAGGCACAAGGATCAGATGAAATCCCTGAAACTCGGGGGAGGTGTCAACATTGGAAACACAGGCACTCCCTGTCGGATCTTTGATTTCCCTCAGACACAAACCACCAGGGGTTAGGGACCTGAGGAAGGGGAGAGAGAAGCTAAATACAGTGACAGGGATCACAGAGCAGTCAAGAGAAGAAGGGGGAGGATGACAGTGTCTACGCAAAAGGCGAACAGCGCTTTGGGAGTGATGGTGAGGGCCTTGCCCCCTTGAGGAGAGGGGGATGATCAACTCTGGGAACCAGGGGACGCTGGGTGGGTGAGTTGGGAAGAAGGGTGGTACTGAAGTAAGGAAATCAACAGAGCTGCAGAAGAAAGGGCCACGTCTTCAGCTCCGGGACGTGGGAGCCCTCGGAGCCAAGGGGCCCAACAGGAGAAAGGAGAAAGGAGGGCTGTGTGGGAAAGGGTTGGGGCAGGAGGACAGATGATGGCAGCAAGATAAGCAAGGATGGACAGGACGGGTAGCATCCCGGCACGGAAAGGGTTCAAGACTTAGAAAATAATTCGGGGCGAAGGCAACAGGGATAAACGTGAGGGAGGGGGAAATCCCCGGGGCAAGGGGAGGAGCTAAACAGAAGAGGAAGCCAAAAGCAGAGGAGGGTCCCAGGCCTAAGAGGGCAGGGTGGAGAAGGAGCTTGGGGTGCAGCTGCCTCCCGAGGGCAGTTTTCTAGTCGAATCCAGTGGGGGGTGGGGTGTCGGCTGTGCGGGACAGAGTGGGCGAGCACCCCTCCCCACCCCGAAAAGGGAAGGGTAACGGAGGGAGGTGGAGTCGCTTACCTCCGGGGGACTCCCCGCGGAGGGGGTACGGGTGGTCGGGGTTAGGCTGCCGCCACCACCGCCTCAGCAGCAGCAGCCGCTCCCGGGCTCCATTGGCCGCCTCCGCTTCCCTGACAGCGGCCGCGGCGGCTGCACCAGGCCCCGGCTGCGGGGCTGCCCTCGGCGCTGCCTGAAGGGGCCTTCGCGCAGTGTCAAGTCCGACCGGGTCGCCCCACCTTCTCTTCCTCTCTCCGTACAACCGAGGGGAACAGAAACCCCCGGCGGGTATCGGCGTGGGATTCCCCTCCTAAATCCAAGCCCTTCTTCCAGAGTCCGGATCCCTCGCTTGCCCGACGTTCAGGACCCAGCCGATCCCATAGGAACCTAAACAGTCCGGAGAGCTGCCCGGAACACGCCTGTTCGGAAATGTCAAAGGGGGCGGGGACGAGATGGTTGGAGCCGAAAGGAGCGAGCGAAGGGCGGGGCCTACGGCTGGGAGGCGGGGCCAATCCTTGGGAGGAGGGCCTGAGAGGCGTTTCCCAGGCTAAGGAAGCCGGGAGGGAAGGGCGTGCGCGCGCAGGCTGAGGGGCGGGCGTTCCCGGCCAGGACCCGACCCTCGCCCAGAGGGCACCCTGAGGTGCGGTCGTCGTTAAGAGGCACAGAACTTCCACACGTACATGAGTTTCTGTGTGAGGGGGCCCATGGCAGTGGCATTCCCACCTTCCCTGTGGCCATGGCTCCCTCAGCAAGTCAGGCCACTGCGGGGACAAGGGAAGGGACATCGTCACCCGCACTACGGTCGAACGATCCGAAGGCTACCCCTGGGGTCGCTCGTGAGAACCGCGGTGGCCGCCCGGTGCGAGGCAGCGGCTTTGCTTCGGAGGTTGCCCCCTGCCTAGCAGCCTTCGGCCTTCAGCCTCGGAAGGGGTGAGTGGAATGGCAAAGACTTGGAGGGCACAACCCTTCCTTCAAAACCGGACACAATAAGCCCCAAGTCAAACCGAACCCGTTACCATCCAGTCGGTTCCGCTTCGGCAATCCTATCCGACAGAGTAGAACCGTCCCGCGGGGTCTTCACGGAAGCAGACCGCCTCGTCTCCCTCCCCGAGGAGTGGCCGGCGGGGGGACTGTGAAGCTTTCTGGGGGCAGCCGAGCATTCCTGTGGAAACAGGACTAAGCAAATGCACAAAATGTGCCCCACCAGGGGGCTTGGTGGTGGTTCATTTGTAGGTTAGCATCCCTGATGGAAAGCTCTCCCTTTCCCATGCCTGCCCCAACTCTTCATAGGACCTTAATTAATACGAGGGGGCTTCAAAAAGTTCTGGACAAATGCCATTATCTTTTTATTCAATGATTCCACAAACTTTTTTGAAAAACCCTCGTATGGAGACCTTATTGCTATTGACGGCCAGATCTCGGATGTTTCCCTGGTTCAGACGGACAGATTTGTGTTGACCAATTTACCTCTTTGAGCCTTTTCTTATGAGTGCAAAGAGGATGCAGTCATGCTAACATGTAACAAGAATTTTTTTTTTCATGTAACAAGAATTTTGAGAGGTTCAAGAGACTGCATATTACTACTGTGCTAACAGGGTCATTCTTCAGTGTCAAGTTAGCAGACAAAATCAAGAGTGATGGTTTGACAATACACATGGGAAACGTAACATGTATGAAAGTAGAACAAATGCAGTATCTGTGTGATTGCGGAAAGCACATAAGAGGAGTTTGGTTAATACAAAGAGCCTTGCTGACGGATGGATGGAAGATCTCAGAAATATTGTGAACCATGTCTTAAATGCTAGAATGATCCAGAAAAAAGAGTTGGCAAGTGCATTCTAAGGCTAAAAGACTGTCTTATTGAAGAATAGGAATGGAAATTTTGCTCAAGTCTTGAGACTAGGGCAAGCAGATTACCTATATTGAAGTAGGAGTACAGTAAGGAGAGATGAGCAGAGTCAGCTTTGAGTACCAGATGTCTGTCACCACAGTCCACCTGTCAGACCCAGCCTGTGGGCAGCTTCCAACCAGCTGTCAGGCGTGTGTCAAGAGGCAATCAGCCTGCTGTAGCCTCAAGTTTAAAATACTATAACCCTTCAAGGGGTAAGGTTTTGACTAGCCATTTGAAACACTGCAGAGAGATGGGACATTACTACTTTTTATAGGAAGCTTATTTTCTGACAACAGAGAAACAAGGTATCAGGAACACCTCTGTTAAAACAGAAGGAACTTTTTTCACTCCAGGCAGTTTTAAGTCCTATATTAATGCAGCATGACCCCCCATGCCCCTTTCTCTAAATTATACATACACAAAGAACAGTGTTGCATAAAGAGTTTATTTCAGGTTTTGTTTCTCTCAGGGTTCATATACATAGATGTATGTTTCTTTGCATCTCCATGATTTTGCTTTTCTGGAGTTTATTTTTATTATTATTATTTTTTAATCAAACTCTTGTTTTTCAGTGTTGAGTCCCCTCTAGTCTTAAACTTCTTAAGGCAGGAAAGGATTTATCTTTCCATCCTAGCTTTCTCTCTACTTTGCACCACTGGGAAGAAAACAGGTATTTGCTGATAAAGTAACAGATTATATGCAGAAGCAGATATGAGAATCCAGTTGTTCATTTTAGGCATTAAAGAAATAACCAAAAATGTTGAAATAAAAGGAAATTAAAAAAAAAACTTTTTTTAAACGTATTTTTCACAAAAATATTTAAAATATTTTGATCCAATTATTCTTCTCCCCTACCCCCCACCTTGCCTTTCCTTTTTCAAGGCCTTGTCAAAATATAAAGCTGAAGGCTAGTTTTCCATAAACCAAAAACACTCACTGCCAATCAGTGCTGACTGGAGCGACCCCCTGTGGGTTTCTGAGACTGTAACTGTTTATGGGAGTGGAAATGCCAGCCGAGCAGCTGTGATACTCGAACACCTCACCCGCTTGAACCTTTTCTAAAGTTGACTTTGGCAGAAAAGTTCTCACCTATGGTAGGCCCTAGGGTGACACTGCACGCTACGTGATAGTTTCAGATAGATGGCATGTGACCCTGTGAGAACCCACAGTCTTGGGCGTGTGTGAAGCCTCTTGCTCTGATGGGTAAGTATGTATATGGCACATTAGGGCAAAGGGTGGGGGCAAGAAAGTATGGACAGGACAGAATCATGTCATTTATGAGGTCATTTAAGTTGTACCAAGTAGGGGAAAGACAGCTTATTATTCAAGAATTAATAAAAATACAAGATGCATGTTATAAATAGGTTAAAGAAATGATAGTGAAAGAAAATTTCCTTCTAAACCATAGATATAGTTTTTTTCCTAAGGGAAAAAGATGCAGGCAGTTATTGTTTGAGCCCTGAGTGTCTGAGGAAAAATAGTATCTCATTTGTTCTTCATTATACCTCTGTGAAATGGATTTGATCTCATTTTGTGGAAAAGTTAACTTCAGAATGATTGTCATTGTTGTTCAAAATTGTTTTAATTCAACCCTAGTACATTTTGTATTATGGCCACTGAGGATGTCTTAACTGAAATAAAAGTTTCATGAATCAGTACCTGTCCTTACTATGTGCAATGAACCTACCTGTTCTAGTCTTTCTTTCCCCCTGTCTTTTAAGTACTGTTAAAAGCTGCAGAATAGGTTTCACGCCCCACTGAGTGGCAATCTGTAGTTGGAAAAAATGGAGTGAAATAATGTATTCACAATCACATGGTAAGTGGTAAAGCTAAATTTGAGCCTGCGGAAGATCCTTTCCAGTAAACAACTGCCTTCCTATAAATATTTCTTAGGAAAGACAGCACTGTGTATGTGTATGCTTAGTTTTACCCATTGGGTGGATCAGTGAGATGATCTTCCAGGACAATCAGGCCTACTGGGGAATAAACCACGAGGTAAAACACTCAAACAAGTGGATACTGGCAAACCTCTCTGTATGTAGTACGTAGGCAAATGTGACACTTGATTTCATTTCTACCGAAAGCTGATTATTAAATGTAAAAAAGAGTAAATCATTTATTTGGGACCAAAGACTAGAGATGAAGAGTTGGTCTTGGTTAATTAATAGTAAAGGATTATTTCAAATTTTATCAAATTCTAAATTATCTTTAATATTTGTGATATACCTAAAATAGGCAAAGGTGATTGGGGGGTGGGGAGCAGGGGACTGTAGAGAAAGGAATGTTAGCAAAGAAGTGATAGGTAATTCCCCAAATCTTAGTTTAGCCCTTCATCGAATAAACTGAAAATCCCTTGGATTGCAGAAGTATTTGTTTCATGGCAGATTTAAAAAAATACATGGAACTCATGCACAATTGTAACTCTTGCACAAATCCAAATCCTTCGGTGCTTTAGGCTCCAAAGTGAATGGCCCTATCCCCAGCCTCCAGCAGAGTAAAGGTAGTGTTTCCTGCGATTGTCCTGTTTTTTTCACCAGCGGCATATTGTTCCATATACCTTTTACTTGTCAGCAGCCTGGCCCAATCCCTCATCTCATTCCACAAGGACAGTGGCAACAGCTGCCTGGCTGGCTCCTTTGACCCCGATACCTCTGTCCTCTAATGAAAACGTCATACAATAATTTAACAAATAGCTTTAATAGTTATGTATTGTTTTCTTCTTCACAGTGTTGTACTGTCATGCAGGTATTCACACTCTGTACCCTTCCTTATCCCCTGCTTCTCTTGGAATGCCTTCTGTTTTTCACCTAAGGCCTCCCAAAACTAAACCCAAACCCCCTGCCATTGAGTCCATTCTGACTCACAGTCACCCTACGGACAGAGTAGAACCACCCCGTCCGTCGGTTTCGATCAGGCTTTTCTCCTGCGGAGTGGCTGGTGCATTTAAACTACTGACCTGTAATCAGCAGCACAAACACAACAGGATACCACCAGGGCTTGGCCAAACCCTACTGACTGTAAACTCATGCTTCCTTTTCCCATGAAGCTAGCCCAAGTTCCTCTGCCCCACTGCTCTGAACGACAGATGCTGTGCAGCACGGTGAACCATGCAGCAGCTCCTGTGTGTTGTTCGTTCCTTGCTTGACCAATTCAACTTGCCCCGCTAACTCTGACTCACCTGTACTGGGAAGCCATCTCCCAGCCCTGCCTGACCTGTGTTCCTCTTCTGGCTCCCATAGCACTCTGTGCTTACTTTGAACATAGTGGACACTTGTGCTAACAATGTTATTTGTCTGTCTTACCAACTAAAATGTTTGAAGGCAGCCTATGTCTTACCAACTTTTCATGCCCAGCACTTAAGAAACAAGAGGGAAAATAGTAAAAATGACAGCGAGTGGCATGTCTTAGCATACTGTTGGATTCATTCGAAAGGGAAATCCTTTTTTTGGAAAGGGAAATCTTAAAGGGAAGAAAAAACCAAAACAAAACATTAAGCTGAACCCTCAAGGAAACCTGAGCTGCATGCAGTAGAAGCAGGTTTGCCTTGGGGTCCAGTGCTAATTATTAGCACTATAAGCTGAGCTTAAGCCTGGGGTCTAGCCAAGGAAGAGGAGAAAACCTAGGATTCCTGAATTAAACCTGGACTCTGGAGTGGCGCTGACATGGTCCTAGGTCAGGAGCACCCCCTAGCTTGTGGAGAAGCAAATGTCAATCCTTTCTGGAAGAAAGTACCCCACTCTCCCCCAATTTAGAGCCCAGGAGTCCCATCCATTAAGTGTCACAAAATATGAGATCATACCCCCCACATACAGAATATATAAGGAAACAAATTACAATGCGTACATGTCAGCAGATAACAAATTAAACAGTCCAGATCAGTTACAGAATATAACAATCCCAACAAACTTCAAACTGTTGATGTAATTGAGACCATATTATCAGAGCATATGTAATTGAGTTGAAATCAGTATCAAAGATGATACATTTTTAACTCTCCACAGACCTTTGGAAATGCATAAGGCTTTTCTAAATAAGTCATGAGTCAAGAAAAGTCATACAGGAAATCTAAATATTCAATGACAATACTGTACAATATAGGCAAACTTGTGGGATGTAGAGAAACAGGTTCTTGAAAACTTAAAATAGCAAAGACAGAACGTTAGTTATCTTAAGTGCCAAAATTAAGATGTTAAAAAGAACATAAAATCAAACAAGAAAGCAGAAGGAGACACTATAGGTTAAACCAATAATTAACGAAACAAGAACAAACACCTAAGGAAGATTATCTATAAAGCTCCAAGCAGTATCTGAGGCAGACAAGTACAGCACACAAATTCCTGGTGCAACTACGCCAGAAAGGAAAGACACAAGCAGTAGAAATGAGGCAAAGGACACGATTACCCGGAAAACAGGCAAAACAAGTGAACCAACCAAACAACTGTACGCCAAATAGAAAGGCATGCATCATATGAGAAAAGTCTAACTCAGAAGGCACAAGTAGCCTGTATTTAATAAATTAAATGAATAGTTATAACTTTTTCCACAAAGAATGTCAGGCTCAGAAAGCTTTCTGGGTGACTTTGAGCCAACTTTCAAGGAACACTTCATCTCAGTCTGGTGTAAACTTTTCCAGAGAATAAGACAAACGAGGGGCCAGGCCCCAACTCAGAAGGATATACACAAGAGAACCATCTTAGATATCTTTTTAGAAATCTTACTAAAAGGCACTAACATACACGGATGTTTGTAGCAGCATTGTTTGGAATAGCGAAAAACTGGGAACTACCCAAATACTCATTAGTAAGCAACTGGATAACCAGTTTGTGGTTTATGTACTTGATGGAATTGTACACAGATGAAAATGAATCACAGCATTCGAGAACAATAAAGATGAGTTTTTAAAATGCTGTTAAGTGACAAAAGCAAACTCCAGAGGATCATTAGAAGGCAATGTTTTTGTAAGGCGCAAAAATAATACATGACTTAAGGATATATATACACATATGGTTAAATATATAGCTGTATCTGGCAATTAACATAGTATGAAGGACAGTACTGAAAGGCAAGGGACAGGTTTGGGGAGGGAACAAAAGTAGCTTCAATGGCATTTGTAATGTTTTACAATGTACGTTGGGTGATGGGTTTTAGGTATTTTATCATTATGCTTCATAATCTGTTACATATCGTTTTTATAGATATCAAATATTACATATTTTTTAGAAATCAGCTCTAGTGGAAATAAGTGGCCAAGTGCAGTCTCCCTGAAAAAAAAGCAACCACTCTATTTCTCGGTGAAAACCAAGCGTCCCTGACAGAAGCCACTCCATGCAGAAGACAGAGTAGCTCCTCAATAAGTACTGGTTTACTGCTTTTCCCCAAGGGCAAAGCTACAGGGTTGCATTCTTTCCCCAGTGGCGCCCCCCTGCAGTGCAGAGCTCCTTTCTGCCAAGCACCAAGACTAGCCTAAACCCTACAAGCCTGCCACACGGATAACGAGACTGACACCTGGTGGATACGGAATGAATTTAATGAAAGGAGGAGGAAGTCCATAGCTTTACTCTTCCTGGTGAAAGAGGGAGGGGGCGTGTAGGGGAAAATGAAAGTTCAGAAACAGGAAAGGGAAGCCGCTCCACCTCTGAGAATGGAGATGGAAGCAAGGGATTGTCATTCCTTACACAGAGCCTACCGAGAGTCCCTAAAAGAGAGTGACCCCCTTCTTGTTCCTTCTGAGACCCGATCAAGAGGAAAGAGGTCGCCCGCCAACCTTAGTAAGGGAGACACAAGACTAAGATGGATAAAGCAAGTAGGTCTCGCTGATCACTTGTCTGTCTTAGCAGCATCCTCTGCAACTCCCCCTTACAGTCTTCATTTAGGCCTGGGTGACCGAAGAGCTTGGCCATTGTAAAGAAAGTACAGTGCAGTCCATGGTGTAGAGTAAGCAAATGAGCATATATCATCCTCAGGCCACCGTGATTGGTTAGGGATGGATGTGTGTCCCAGGCTGGCCTGAGCAGAGTGGATCTGAAGGGCTTTTGCTGGGAGCCCTGTCACAAAGAGCCCCCACTTAATGAGGGCTCATGTAACCCTAGAAGTGCTGGCAGTCACGAGGTGGCCAGCCTTAAAATGATCCTACAGAAAGTGGAGCATAAAGAATAAAATAAATTAGGTACTTTGAGATATATTGAGCTCCTGGATCAAGCTTCACCTGGAGCCAACCCTAACCTCTGAAGTTTACAGGTATCTGTGACAATAAAGCCTTTTGATTTTTAAGCCAGTTTGAGTTAATCTTTTTAGGATTTAAAACCAAGATTCCTAAGCTTTACATTCATCAGACTTACCCTAACTATCCCTATCTTCCCACAGGTTAGCACAGGGATCCAGGTAAGGAGGTCACTAGAGCTTTGTTAGTGACGCTGAAGGCAAAGGTATCAAGCTGGCGGGTCCGGGGCGGGACTAGGCGCTAGGCAAGACGAGGTGACTCAGCAGCTGTACAGAGAATGGGCTCCCTTAAGGAAAGGTTAGCCAAGTGAGAAGCAAGTGCAAAAGGGCTTCTGCTAAGCAGGCAGAGTTGACATATGTCTACACACGTCAATCCTCTTCCCCACCTTTCACGGGGGGGTTGCTTTGGGGTCCTTCCGGTCATGGGGTAAGGGACTTTGAAGCACATGCCCCTTTAAGCCTTCATTACCCTGTGTGGCACTCTCTGCTTCTCCCTTTCCCAACGGAAGGGCCTCCTTTTGGCTTCTACTGCCCTTGATGACACTCACTTTGGGGGTGACAATAATTTTCCCCCCTGCTTCTTTGGCATGTCGAGAACTAAAGCCCCGTACCCCTTTGGGAATAGCACCATCTTCCTGACCCTGGGCAAGCACTGTCCCCCTCTCGGCCTCACCCATTAGCCCTGTCCCCTCTGACCCTCCCGAGGAGTTGCTTGCCCCTCCAGAGTGCCATGTCTCCAGTGGTAACCTTGACGGGGCGGAGTCCGGGGCAGCTGCTGACTTCTCGGGGGTAGAATTCCTTTCCCCACTTCCACCTGATTTTTTTCGAGGGCGCCCCCGCTTTCTTTTGGCATCAGCTCCTGCATCCTCTCCATCCTGCTTCGCTGCTTTTGTTGGCAGGCTCTGCCCCCTGGCCTCACTCACAGGTACTTCAGCTGTCCTCTTGACGCCCTTGTCATGGGGTCCCGGGTCGCTTGCTATGCCTACCTCCCTGTTCTCCATGCTTCGGGGCTGAGGGAGACCCACAGGTGGAGCTCGCCCAGTCCCAGGCAAAGGAGGAACGGCTGGTAAGATCATGTTAATGATGGGCACTGCCGCCTGAGGAACCCCAGCCCTGCTGGGCAGAGGCAATGTAGCCACTTTTAAGGGGCCTTGAGAGAGCTTGGGGGCCAGAATAGGTGGAGAGACTCGAATTGGCTGGATATGTGAGCAAGAGGTCCGGGGCAGGAGCAGAGGGAGTCGAGCCACCAGGGCCTTAACCTGTGGGTCACTGGCTGCTGGGGCCGGGCTCTCGACTACACTCTTCTTCCGTTCTCCACGCGCAGGGGGGCCAGGCCCAGCCCGGGCTTCCAGTTCCTTGGAAGGCTAAAAAGTTAAGAGAAGACCACTGTAAGCGTTGGAAGCTGGATATGGACGGCAACAGGAGACGAGGAGGAGAAAGAGCATGGGGCAAACCAGGGGAAGGGTTGCGTACGCCCGAGCCCAGGACAGTCGAGCCAAGGGCATGACCTTCCTTACCTGGGCTGGTCTCTCTGGTTTCTTTGAGGCTCCACCCTCCAAGTTCTCGACACCATTCTTGGATTTCGATAACCGTTCTCGAGGGCCATGTTCATCCTCTTCTGCAGAGAGAAGGAAATGACGTGTGACTGAGAATGAAGGTGAGGCACAGAAGGGGGAGGCCGACTAACAGAGGAAGGAGAGAAGAGGGGGTCTAAGGTATGTCCTAGAATGGCCTCTGGGAATAGAAGGGCGAGCCAAGGTGTTGCTATGCTAGAATGTGGGGCTTTGGGAGTTGAAAGAGGCTGAGGGCCTCTCGGAAGAGAGGCGAGTCCACTTACCAGCAAGCCCCGTGGCCTGGAGCACGTGAGCGTGGGCGGATCTGGCAGAGATGAGGTGCTGCTGGAGCAGGAAGCGGGCGACCTCTACGATGGAACTGAAGGACCGTTTCAGGATGCGCTCGGCCCAGTCACAGGTCAGGGCGCAGGCTGCCTCCACCAGTTCATCCCGAGGTGCCTGGGTCACTTCTGGGCCCATTTCTGGCTGCAGTGGTAAAGGACACGCCCAATCACATCCCAAAGGCAGGGACCTCTGGACCTTCTCAATACACCAATACATATTGGCCATAGCCGACACCAGACCAGAGATAGGCGTGACTGCCCATTCCATTCTGGAAAACCCCACGTTCATTTTCTGTCTCAGCCTTCAGGTTGTCAGAAGGGCCTATCTTGTATACCCACGAAGCTATGTCTGTAATGACCTATATAAGCTCTGTTAGCTGTCAAAAACTTGCCTCAAAGACTTCTGGGAGAAAGGGTGGGAATCAGAGTGATTTGTTACTTACGCTCTCAGAGCCCTTCAGGTCAAGTCCAGGCAGGGGTGGCATAGTTACCAAGGTCTTTCTTCGTATGCCACTGTAGCAATATCTGATGCAAGCTAAGGAGCAGCCAGTACACAGGGATCTCCAAGACTCTTCAGAAGGTTATGCTGTTTCTGCTCCTGCCTCTCCACTTCCCAGTGTTCCTCCCTCTGGCCCCAGCCCCCAGCTCTCCAGCCAAGGATACTTGGACTGGCCCCGGCCACCCAGCCTCCGGGCCTTGATGTCAGGGAAAATCTCTCTGATGATTTTGCCAAAGTTGGCTGTGCTGAGTGGGCGGCAACAGGCGAGGCTCTCACAGTACTTCCTGAGTGAATGGGGACAGGACAGGGAGATACTCAGTGGTGGTGGCCGGGGGTGGGTGGGTGGAGAGGTGCGGAGGGTCCCTTAGGGATCAAGTTTGGGAAACCCTTCAGGAAACCAGGGAGCTCTCTGGGGGCAAGAGGCTAATCCACCCACCGATAGGCATCGTAAACACTTTGCTTTGGCAGACAGGTGTCCGTGTGCTCTTCCAGGTGGTTGCGGATCCACTTATAGGCATACATGTACTCCTCGTTGCTGAGTGTGCTGGGCTCTGAGCTGCAGAGAGAGACAGAGAGAGAAAATCGACAGCCGTTACTACTGAGACCCCCAACACTTGGCCTGATCCTACCCAAACTACCACTTCAGTAGGTGCTGGACCACGTGAGTTCACCCAGCATCCATCTGTCCCTGGTAAGCCAAACCAGGATAAGAGGTCTTCCTCTTTCATCAAGCATGGCAGTTGTCAGTCTTCCTATCCACCCGGCCCCTTCCCAGAAAGCCTTTCTCCAAGAGTCAGGGAAGCCTGACACTCGGAACTCTGTAACAAGCCTACCTTTTGTCTCCAGTGCTGGGCCCTGAGGGGAGCTGAAGGTAGAGATACAGCTTGTCGTTGTCTGAGAATTTCTGTACATCTTGCTGAGTTGGTAGAGGACACAGGGAGGAGAAACAGTAAAGCCAAGACGTACCCAGGGTAGAGCCCCATGCTCCTTACCATAAAAGGCTAACTGATTTATAGACTGTCAGACTGAAATACAACCTTAAAGAGGATCTGCGGCTGGACTCTCACTGTGCTCTGAGGACCTCTATGGGCTACCATGTGGAAGGGGGAAATGAAGGGGATCTCCCTGGTCTTTTATACAAGAGGTCAGAGTGACAGGGAGATGTTCAAGGTCAAACTGGCAGCAAACTGTGAAGTCAATTCTCTTCTGACAGGATGGAAGGCACTACTTTTCATTTTGCCTAGATCACCCCCGTCACTCTCATCCCGCCCCTTTTCCATCTCTGTTGTTCCCTTCCCCCATGATAATACTTACCAGAATCCCCTCCACTTTGTTCTGCACGGCCTTGCTGTAGGGAAGAGGAGAAACATGGGAATTGCACAGAGATCTTTTCCCTCCTACCTTTATTGGCCAGCTAGGGGTGGGAAGAGGCCTGAATTGCCTAGCAGGTGCTCAAGGATGGCTTCCCCGAGGGGTGGGGGAGCTGTCTTGGTCAGATGCACTTGCTCCAGGAGAGACAGCTTATCTGCAGAGGATGTGAGGCGCTACGGGGATCTACACCTAGGTTTGGAGCAAGAGGTGGAGGGAGTGATGAGTACTTACGAAATGGTACCTCGGAGCCTCTGAAGAAGGGTGGTGGGCTCACCAGCCTCCGCATTACCTGGGGGGGCTCGGGGAGCCCTCCCCCCAGCCTTTGGGCTCCTAGAATCAGGTTCATCTTCTGCCATCCCAGCATGAGGGCTAGGGTTGGGAGGAGACAGGGCATGAAGACTGAAGCCACCCTGGCCTTCCCTCCCCTGAAGGCGACCTCATCCCTCCATCCAGACAGACCAACAGGTACAAGGTCTCTGAATTTCCCCCAGTGGTCTAGGGGCTCACCACTTGCCTTCTCCACAAATTCTAAACCATTCCATTGACCTATCCTCTATACACCAACAGAGATCTCTGTCATCCCCAGTCTATCTGTCCCCACCTTTCTGAAGGCTCCCAGATCTGGAAGGCTTTAAAGGAAGCGATGGGGCATCGGGAATTCCGCATTTGCAAGAAATCCGTGCCTGCCTCTGATCCAGTACTGCCCTCCCCCCC